TGCATTCCTCGGAGAGATGGCTAGATTAGACTATTACTAAAATGTAGTTTAAGGTCATGTATTTTTTTGCTTTCTTTGTATCAGTGGCTCCACTGAGACTTCAGGCAAGTTGTTTATTATTTATTTACAACTCTTAATAGTTATTTCCTTTGCTCTTAATTCCTTTACTCTCAAGGAATTAGCTAGTATGGTTATTAGTAAAATGGAGATATTTTCATATGTATGTTAATTTTTTTGGATTGAGTTCTAATCATTGGAGATAAATCAATGATTTTAAAAAATAAAAACCGTAGTTTTTATTTAAATCTGTTATATTTATTCAACATTTTAAAACTTAAAAAATATTTCACAAAAATGAATATAGCTCAAAGCATGGAGGTCTCCAGGATTTTACTGATTTTTGTCAAAATGATCAAAACAGTAGCATGTTGTTGTGCCATGAGCTCCATCCCTTTTGGATGTGTGTGCAGCTTCACATTGTACATGCAAAAGGGATGGGGCTTGTGTCACAACAGTGCAATGCTGCTTTTATCATTCTATCCTGTGGATATTGCTGGCTCAGGGATTTAATCAGAAATATCTAACTATATTTTATTTTACTTGCTATTATCGAGATAAGAAATGAATTAACAAACCTCTTAACTTACCTTTTTCTAAAAAACAAAGAAAGAGAAGATCACTGAATACCAAATTTGAGGTGATAGAGTAGTTCTGGGCAAGGAAGAAGTAATAAACTTCAGGGAAAGTCTTTGTTAAATCAAAATTGATTCCTAATGACTTTATAGTCATGTCTGTATAATTATGGGAGGGAAACAGCATGGAAATTGTTTGCCATTGCCACCTTTCATGATTTTTGTTTCTACTTCCCATCCTAACCTACAAACGCATTACTTTCTGTTGAACCTCTATCCAAAAATTAACCAAGTTTGATCCTGCATAGTTTTCTTAATCAGCCAAGGTTGGCTATGTACAGATAGTTGGGTAAGTTTGGATATAAATGCAAGGGCCAGGATAGAGGAGTAGAATATGAAATAAAAAGTAAGCAGGACATATTCCTGAGGATTTGAGAAATAGGTTTTTGGACCTCCAGTGTATTTTCTGTTATTTAAAATCTAAGCATACTCTTTTTGATCTTATATTAATGATGTTACTGGAGCTTGGTATCAGACAAGTACACAAGATTCACATGATGCAGCAAAGAAATTCATAGTGTAGCATGTCTATACATACAGAACCTTTAAGCTAGTAAATATTTTGTCATTTTTAAGGACTGTTGTTTTTAGTTCATTGCTTTTGGACGTTACTATTGGAATTCTCATATTTAACAATGAAACGAAAAGTGGTGACATGTTTTGGTATCTGAAAAAAATAGCCAGCTCCCAATTTAACGGGGAAGGAGATGGACCATAAATGTTGCCTCAGCCACCTCAGTTTCAAACTTTGTTGTGTTGAACAGCAAATTTTGAAAAGCAATGTAATTGTCACTTAGTTGAACATAAATAGAAAGTTGATACTGTAAAGCAGAGCCTAATATCATAAAACAATAAAGCTCTGCTTAGGTGACACAAACCTGTGGAGAACTCAACCACATAAATAGTAATAAATAGCTTCTTTGCTCTATAAATCATGCTGTGATGTTGATTATCTACAAGTACAATGTGACTGTAGCAAGGAAAGCTTCACATGCAGTGCTGTACATATGAAGACGTTCACCAGAGTTCAAATTCTTATAGTACAGCTTAGAGAGAGAAGCGTGCTTGTCACTGTTTACATTATGAATTCTACACTGGCTTATGTTACCTGAACAGGGCTTTGTGCCCGGGCTAAAATAAACAAAAAGAAGATCAATTTTCACATGCTTCCAGAGTGGTAGCTACATTAGGCTTTTACAAGAAACTCAGCAAAAACTCTTAAAGGTTCCCCATCTGAACACAACACTGTAGCCATCTGAATTTGAGGGAGCATGAACATGGGTTGTGGGGACAGGATTTTAGACTCAAAATATTCAAGGGCTCTGTTTATAAATATGTTCTGTTTCTGCATGCAGTTATATATTGATTTTAAAAAGGGCAATATGTTTCTTCAATTGTTAAGAATTTATAAGTGTAGCATTACCCAATATTCATGCTAGAACAATCTCTCAAGGGTTGTAATCTTGATTTTATGTTGCTATGCTGGCTGAGGAGGGGAGATAATGGGTAAACAGTGCCAGAACAGGGTGCTGAATCTCTGTGAGAGGAGATATAATAATAAAATAGCTTGCTTGATCCTATGAGATACATGTAGCTAGAATTCCTTTTAGGAATTCTCACAAGGTTTGCAGAATTAAAATTTAAAAGTGTTCTATCCCCTCAGTATAAGACAAATAAAATCCTAGACTAAAAAGGTAAATTTTTGCTCAAATATGTCAAAACTTTAGCTGTATTGATTCTGTTTGTTGAGACTGTAAATGGTCAAATAGAAAATTTCTCAATTAGCATGGAATTAAAAGCACATCTAGAATATGGAGCATTTTTTTGCTTTTTCTGATCTATGAGAGAATCTGAGACAATCAGAATTTAGAGGTATGTGCCTGGCAAATCAGTTTCTCATCTCAGCCTAATTTCTATTTTCTCACCTTTGCGTTTCCCACACCCCAAGAGATTTCACAAAGCACGTAGCCATAGTGGAGGACCACCTCCACCTTTGGATAATAGTGGACAACTGTTTTCTGGGGGCAAACTCACATTACACATTATAACAGTAAATTTTAGTTTTATTGGATATTACAACAGGTCCAATGGGAAGAGGAATACTTCTGTTGGCTATATCACACAAGGAGCTGAGATTACACTTTAATCTTGGTGCAAGTAAAGCTTAGAAAGTTTCTTTAAAACATTTTAAAGGAAAAGCATAAAACTGCAGCACTCCACTTTTGAGTTCCATGTTGGAATTAAATGCTTTATTTTGGATGAATGGAAGAGAAAAATGTGATACAAATAAATTAATGAGATTCTCAAATAAGCTGTAGACAGATGCACAAGAGGCTTTCTGAATCTCTTGGCATATTAAAGCATGTGAGAGTGTGGTCTACTTCTATAAATATCCCAGTAAACAGTACTGTATTGACAAGTTGGCTTTGAATATTTTATTCAGCATTCAAGTAGCACAACTATCAAATGGTAGCACAGTTATAAGGCTTCTTTTCTTGGAGACTTTCAGTGTCCATGCTGAAGTTGCCGGTTAAGAGCAATTCAAGAATATCTGCCTTCCATCATGGCCATGACAACTGTTTTAGCTAGTATCTGGCACATGCATGCAGCAGGGCTCATAGAATCACAAGGGTTGGAAGGGAACTTGAAGGTTTTCACCCCTCTGCCTGGGTCAGGAATCTAAGACTCCAGGAGGCAGGCTGTTCCACTGTTTAGTAGTTCTCATGGTTATGAAATTCTTATTTTGATTTTGGATCTCCTTCTGTAATACTTTTACCCATTGGTTCTTATCCTGTCCTTGGATGCTATCTAGAATAAATCCACACTCTTTTCATTGTGACATCCCTTCAAGGATTGAAAGACTGCTATCATGTCTCTCCTCTTTAGGCTAAACATACCCCTTGCTATCTTTGTCAGATGATAGATAACTTACACCAAAAAACTTGGGGGGGGGGCACAGTTTTGCTGTTTTTTTCTGTATTTCTTGGTGGGCTTTTATACCATTAACTGTAGTATCCTTTTGGAAAGCTTGTTGAAATTGGGTCGGGGGGGCAGTGTTTTACAGTGGTTTGGATCATATCCAGGAAGCAGTGGGGACTGTTTTTTGGCCTCTGCTATCTCAGCACATAGGAACTCTGTGAAGATGCAACTATCTCACTAGGCTTTTAACTGTTAGATGATTGTTTTATCACTAATTTTAATTTGTTTTGATAACTTATTATATTCTGTTTTTCTTTTTAAATTTTGTTAGTTGCCTTGAGTGCTCACTAAAACATTAAGGCAAACTATAAATCAAGTTAGGTAACTATAAAAATAACTATTGTACTCTTCAATACTTTTCTCTTTTTCTGGATGTTGTTGTTGTTGTTATTATTATTTTAATTTATTATAGCTGCCCACTCCAGAAGACTCTTCATTTCATCAGTTAAAGCGTCCATATCATTACAGAGCGTGTATGTGTGTGTGTGTGTGTGCGTGTATTAATCTGAGCAGAAATATTATATGTAATGGCGTACTTGCACAAGTGGTTTACCACATGATTACTGCTATAATATTTACATGTTTGTGAAAAGTGGCTGTATTTTAATGTTGCATTAATTAATTTATTTTATTTAGGCACTGCCCAACTCCAGACAATATAAAAATAACTCCAGACTGACTCTTGGCAGCTCCCAGTGTAAAACAATATAAAAATAACTATCTACATAAAACAGTAAACAGATGTGAATGTCAATTGTTAATGAGCAGCATGATAATTCATAGTATTAAATTGCACCTGGTTGACATCTGCTGTAGGAATACCTAAACAAAATTGCATAAATATGTCCCATTTTGCTAAGCATTATATGCAACTCTGGCTTGTTTCTTTGCCATACTGTAGACAAAGCCATTCAATTTTCTCTAGATGGTTCTGATTTCTGGAGGAGCCAAGCAGAAATTCTTTATCAAAATACATATATTTGAAAACTATTAAATTAATGGAAGTGTCAGTGTTTTAAAGGATAATGAAATCTTTCTTTCATTAAAACAACCCACTGTGGTCCTGAATTTTATAAAGACTTATTGTCAATATATAGTTTTTACTTATTTATTAATACACATATAAGTGAAAAGACACTTTGGAAGAAGCAGTCAAGTGGATATCAGTGCATCCAAGAATATTCGCAGGGGATGTCTTGTTTATGCTATTAAGAAGTCCTCTAGCTATAAAAAGGAGCTTGTTGAAAGAGTCAAGGTAACTTTAGTGAGAATATAGTTTTTCATATATATTTTTAAATAAAACTAAATTCAATAAATTTTGTTTAACAGGGAGGCAATAATGCTGGACATACGGTTGTTGTGGATTCTGTGGAATATGATTTTCATCTCTTACCCAGTGGTATCATCAATCCAAAAGTCACCGCATTTATTGGTAAGTAATTTTTACTACTGTACAAACATGCCATTCTGTATTCCAGGGCTTCTTGATCCTAGGTCTGAATAATGTTCAAGATCCTGAATGTTTCTCAATGTTTGTGCAAAATTGGAAATGTATTGTGCAATAACTACAGTTACTATCTACGTGAGAATATATTTCACTTGCTTTAATATCTATGCAGATCGAGAAGGAAGTGCACATTTCTAAACATAACCAGTTAGTGGTATCTGTGGAAATGATTTGTTTGTTTTTGTTTCCTCTTAGGGCCATACTATTTGTAGTTCTACTTTTGATGTGTAGCTTTATTTATAACTAGCTGCAAAAAGCTAATACATCATTGAAACAATGCTGGGAAACCTCTCAGGTTAAAATGGGGAGGGAAGAACAATAAGTATGCATATTGTATTTGGGTGTTGCTGTTGTTTTTCACTCCTGAGTGATACTAATGTTAGCTTTGGGGGATTGCTTTGATAGATGAAACAGTTTGTTTTACTATTATGCAGTAAATTGCAGAATATATGCTTTTTCCAAATAAGCTGATATAAGGATGCTAAGCAAAATAAATTGCAAATCCCTTGCTGTGTGCCACAGGATGATCCTGTTTGTCTGACCTCAGAATTCAGGGTAAATAAGTTACCATTGTCTTTCCTAGCAAATGTAATGGCAATGCATAGTGGGAAACAGGATTGTATTCTGTTCTTCTTCTGAGTCATTGCTATTTCCATTCACGAATATAATTTTTATATCTGCTTTATACATGAAACTGCACAAGTGACATCCTATATGAAATCTAGGAATTGACTAAGCAGGTTCCCTGTGTCTGTTGGAACTTTTATAAGTAAAAATTATGATACCAATAGAGGTGAATATGTGTAGCTCAGTGTTGAACTGTGGAGTCCTTGGGGTCCTCTGAGCTTGGTTCTTTTCTTGCAAATGTTTCATTACCTGGCTAGGTAACATCTTCAGTGCTAAAATGTTTGCCCTCTATTTATGTGCTGTGGCCTGCCTTGTCAGTGCTGGTAAGGGTGGGGGGTTTGTTTTGCTCCTCTGGTAGTTCCTTGATTAGCATGTTTGCTGCTTGATTGTGTGCCTGGTGGTAACCTTTGCTTATCTGGGTGATGACTGCTGGTGATTGATT